ACACACACACACAGATTCACAAATGAATAGAGAAATGAAGAAATGACCACATTTTCACCAAAATATTACCAGGAGCATTAGGAGTGATTTCTTTCTTCTTTACATTTCTCTGTGATCTGAATATTCTACATGAGAATAATTCTCATTAGAATCAAAAAAAGCCATTTATATTTGGGAAAGAAGAAGAGAAAGCGATAGCCCTGCCCCCTCAATGAAAGAGAAGAGAGAAGGTCTTGCATACATCAGATGGGCTTCTACCCCCGGCCCCCACCCTGGTCCCTACCTGGGTGAGGGCCGACTCCAGCATGTTACAGAAGATGCTGAACTGTTTGAAGTTCCCTGTCTTGTGAGTCAAGTCTTCGATGACTGGGTGGGGAGAAAAGTCCTTCCTGAGGTCTGACACTTGCCCATCCCAGGGCGATGCATCCAGGCTTCCTGACTTTCCCTGACTCCAGTGCCTCCGGCCTGAGGGAGGAGCCCTACACCCCCACCCACCTTAGAGCTTCTGGTCAGGCCCAAGGGGCAGGTGGGCAGGACCCCAATGGCCTCATCTTCTAGAAGCTGATCCCGGGGAAGAACAGGCCAGCCCACCCCCGGCAGGCACACTCACAGCTGGCATCGAACTCGCCCCGCCACTGGTCAGCCGTCATGCGGTCCTCCACCTCCAGCTCCAGCACCTGTCCCGACACCACCACCCGCACGGCGTGCTCCACACCCCGGAAGACGTAGTCCACCTGCAGGCCAGCCGGCTGGTCCATGGCCAGTGTCGCTGGAGAAGGGAAGGAGACAGAGACGCAGAGGGGCTGAGTGCCCAGGCTCAGGAGCTGGACGGTCAGCACTCATTTCCTGGTTCTACCATTTACCAGCTGTGGCACCTTAGGAAGGAGACTTTGCCTCCATTTCCTCATCTGGAAAATGGGTATAAAAGGGCACCAACCTCATAGAGTTGACGTGAGGATTAAATTGGCCAATACACATAAAAGCACCTAGACGGTGCCCTGCACATTAC